CCGAGGGCAGCCCACCCTGAGCCAGGGGCCGAGGGCAGCCCACCGACCTGTCTTTTTTTTTAAAAAAAAAAAGATTGCTTTGTGGATTGTTCTGTATTGCTCAGAACTTTACCAAGAGTTATTCACCATTTTGGAAAATCACAACCCAATTCTTCCCAATACTGTTAGCTAAATTTGCATTTGGACCAGTTGTATTCATACTTATTTCATGAGATGCAAGCATCTGATTAATTTCTGATCGGTGGAGACTATCTTCTGAGGGAAGGACATTTGAATGAAGCTTGAAATATAAGACAGAGAATAGCAGTACAAATGTCTTGAGGTGAGAACCACTTGGTACGGTTCAGTGACGGAAAACAAGTCTATATTGTGTGCAATGAGTGAAGAGGGTACTAGTAGGAGGAGTTGGGAGGCTCTGGTAGAGTTTCAATCTATCACCTCTCAAGCCTAATCATGTTACCTTTAAGCATGCAAGACTACATGTTTGAACAATTTTACATTTGCTCCCACTGATTCCTATGCCTGTAATGTGTTCCCTGTCTTTGCTGATTAGTAATAAGAGTACTCATTCTATAATGCCAAGTTCAAAACCATTTAAGAAATCTCATCCCACTCTTCAGCAAGAATTAGTCACTTCCTTCTCTGACGTCCCACAGTATGTATGTCCCGGTGGCATTAATCACACGCTGACTTGTAGCTTATCTAGGTGCTACATGCCTGGCACACAGTGAGTTCCTGGAGGGAAGAGGCTCTTAGTCATCCTGGTAGTCATCTTGTTGATACCTGAGCTTGTGCCTGGGCTGAAGCAGGTTCTCAGTGAATGCAATGGACATTGTGACATTCACTTAACTAGTGGGTGGTGCCCAGTACCACTTATGGCACAATAGAAGAAAAACAAAAATAATAACAACTTATAGTTTATCATGTGCTTCCCTTTTTATTATCTAGAGCCTTGCAAAAAGTCTACGAGGCGGACATAGTAAGCACTATTAGCTTCATTTTATAGATAGGGGAGCTGAGGTCTAAGGCCACATACCTAGCAAATAAAAACCAAAACCAAACCTGATTCAGTCTTACAGTGACCCTGTGGGACAGAACATAACTTTCCTATAGGGTTTATAAGGCTATTAAAGTTTACAGAAGCAGACTGCCATATCTTTCTGCTTTCAAGCGGCTGGTGGGTTCAAAGGTACCTCTTTGGTTAGCAGCAGAGAACTTAACCATTGCACTACCAGAGCGCCTAGTTACCAAGTATCCACTACCTGTAGAATGGATTTTGACTTATAGTACCTGGTTCACCTTCCTCTCCACACCCTTGCACCAAGGTTGTTGTTATTGTTGTTATGTGCCACCAAGCTGCAACTGATTCACAGTTGATCCTCCAGCGTTTATTTTCAGAGACTATAAATGCAGGATCTTGATTGCATGTTCGATCTATCTCCGACTGTAAAAGTTGGTAGAAATCATCTATTTCTTCTTCTTTGGCTCTGGTTGTTGGTGCATATATCTGAA